TTTTACACGATATAATTTTAAGAAATGTAATTTAAACTTGAAAATCTATAGAGTAGGGTTTCAATATTCAATGACTAACAGACGTAAAGTTATTCGGGTCAGTCATTGCTCAGTAAGGAATACTCTGGTCTAGATTTGTCATCTAAGTGTGGCAGTACGACTGCAAATATCATCAAAAATTTATAACTTTTAAAAAACACAGGCGCACTTAGGAAAAATAAAATTATCGCGAGTGTTTTATCGTGTCAATATAATTTGCACACACGCCCCGTTAATACCAATACGCGATACAGATAAAATAAATGTCGAGTTACAGACACGTATATATCAAATACCTTCAGTTTTCCCTGCCAATATAACTATACCAAAACTTTTCCTTTAAAAAAAATAATCCGTTGTATATTTCCGCTAAAACTTACGTCCAGTAAGTATCTTTAGCGAGTTTTATATACAACAGCTAAGCATTGTCTGAAATTATCTATGCATATAATAAAGAATAAAAAAAAATATGTGTTCGCCACATTCGTTATTCCGGTAGGATAGTCCGACGTATTGTCGGCGAGTGTGCGACATGAATGCAAATGGCGGCACATCCGTCCCCGACCGACTCCGAATCTACGACTACATCCGGTCGATGACATACCGAGACCGAACCGACACTACACGAAGCCACGAGCGCCTCTCGTATCGACATCTCATACGGCAGGCGGCCGCGGCAATGGGTACAGTCAACCACGTTCGCGCTGTTCCACTTTGAAAACAATCATTTCAACATATTGCACACCTCAAAAAGATAAAGAGGGGTATTTTACATTATATAATAGACAATTGATTGTAATTTCATTAAAACATCAGACGAAACTCTAATTATTTATTTGCAAATTGGTAGGTGTTTATGTTAATTGCGATTTGTGAGACAATTCTTCTGTAACACCGCGAACGAAGGCGACTGTACTCACGCCTGGTCAACAACCCCATATTTAAAACAATGTATAAAGAATTTGCAATAATGTGTTCACTTTATCGCATGTTTATGTTATTTGTACAATATGTGCTAGATGTTTGTTTTTATATAATTTATCTTTGTATAAACACGATTATATATATTTAAAAATAAATATACAGACATTATTAAAATTTATAAATAAAAAAAACGAATAAAATAAAACATCTTAAGTGATATAATTGGAAGTTAATGAAATTTTAATATAATTCTATACTAAATATAAAAGTACTACTGTATTGAATACTAGCTGTCGCCTGCGATTCCGTCTGCGCATGATTAATAACAAACTTTATTAGTAGCCTATGTATTATTCCAGACTACGTTCTACATCCATGCCAAATATCAGCGAGATAATAAACATCCATCTATCTAATGTTTCGCATTTATAGTGTTAATAAGATGGAAATTTCCAAGGTTTTCTGGTAATTTTTTTATTATTTTAGATAAATAACGGTTTATAAAAGTCGTGAGAAAGGATCTTATTACAGTGGATCATTCACAGAAACCATAAGATCAGAATGACTATGCCTTGTCATACAAACGTGCATACACACACAACGTCTACAGACTGGCAACCTAAAAGCGTTTACGGTCACGACTTTGTCGAGCCACGAGCGCCATATGGCACAGCACAGTCATATAAAAACTTTAACGTATTTAATGACATTGGTACACTCAAACAAATGAACACATGTTTTATAATTTATTTATAGAATTTTATATTTTAATCTTTCCGTTTAACAATATCCAAAATGTGACACAAAAAAAGAATAATTTTACCGTACAGTTACATTTTGATTTTATAGCAGACTTTAAAAAGAAGGAGGTTATATAAGTGGATACTGTTGTCATAAACAACTAAACGTAAGCAGACTAATCTATTAGGGACGACAGGGTGTTGAAACATTATAAATTGTAAGTAGTCGTGCGTGATATTACCAAGCCTAACCTTAGTATCCTTTCGTATCACACGCTCGAGTACGGCCTCGTAGTAATCCAATATGGGCAAGTCGCACCGCACGCGTGAGACGCCACGCTTCGCTTACACCAGCAGCTCCTTAGTGTTGGGACCTCACAAATTAATCATTAATGACCTCACACATTCACGCATTGATTGCAAACTACAATTATAATTATTTGTAAATGAATACAGAGTACGTTTGATTGCCGTAGTCAAAGGCTAAATTTTTCATAAGAATTAGTGTTTTTATTTGATGATAAAGTCTCCAATTTTCCTTAGGAAATTGAACAATTAAATACTTTATTGATTTAACATATTTTTATTATAAAATAATGAAGGAAAGATCATTTTATGAGTCTGTTAGTATAATTGTAACAATATAAAACTGAACACACATAAAATAAGCCCGGTATGTGATCTTTGTGAACACCATACAATTTCGATACCACACATGTTAGTTGCGTCAAGCCTAAATATAGCTCGAGTATTTGTTTCCTTTAACTTTATAAAAACATTTAGTTACACATACATCGTGAAAATAATTACTAAAACTAATATTAGCGTTATGCAGTTCATTAGCAGCATCTGACCTGTCGGTTTTCCTGCATCGTCTGAACTGTAAATTGGCAACAGCGGTCAAACGAAACGATCGGTTACGGTTATATGTGGGAATTAAATCAAGCTAATTTCGTCATGATCTTTCTTTGCCAATTTTAATTATAGATATTACGTTTGTATGGTTAAGGCGTGCGACACACTATACGGGATGTGATCGCAGATGGTGTTGCCCATGTGTGAGTCGAGTGCGGGGCGAAGGGAATGCGAGTGAACTCCACTGCCAAGGCCGCGCCTTCGCCATGAACACAACTCTGATACGATGCAATCGTCTAATTAATTTTATAGCACTTTTATCACAGACTATTGGCTTTTATTGCAATCAATCATTTAGCGTTTATAAACCATGTTATCGTCCTGATTTAAATGTCAAAATAATTTAAGTTTGACATATCTGTAGAGTAAATAATAACTATTCGTCTATACGTGAGATAGACCTATCAAATAATAGTAACTAATTAATCTGTATTTGGTATGGTGAACAATGATCGTCATAGATACGTACTTTAGATTAAGAAAAAAGAGAACATAAAAGTATAAATATTAAAAAAGGTGTATTCAACTAAATTCATACGTAAGGAAAAATATAATCCACCAAAACTAGTACAATTTTTTCCGGTAATAGGAAAAGGGAACAATTTTATCCATATGATTTTAATATAGAAAACACTAACAGAAAACCATAATTTATTTTGTTTTGAATATGTAACATTGTGTATTTCTCATTTATGTGAAATTATCTGTTTAAAAAAAAATTCTATAAAATATTTCCTTTACCAATATAATATTTATTTAAACCTTAACTAAAAAGCAAACATACGTTACGCAGAATTTATACTCAATCTGCACAATGCTTTTGTACCTACATTAGTGCTTATTTTATTGTAGGCACATTCATTTGTTTAACATGATGTAGATAGATAGCCCGATTTCTGGGAAGCTCATCTTTGAAATACGATAGCTAATTATCGGTTGATACGTTATAAGGGAAAGTTGATTGTAAATTCGCGATTGTCGGCGGGTTGAACGCTCGGGGGACGGAGACCGGTCGGTCGGCGCGGCGGCGCGAGGCAGAGGGTCCGACTATAGGTAGAGATGGCCGTTAAAGCAAAGAACTAGTTGAAACCGTTGACATAACCGTTTTTATTTAACTAGTTAATATTAATTTATTTTTTGTATCAACTATTCGCAGGACACACTGGACTTATTTTCGTCGAATTAATACGAGTCAACCATTATTGCCATTATTGCCATTATTGGAGGTTGTGATAACTTACCAACTAGTTAACAAAATCAACAATTTGATGAACGAGTGGAAAGCAAAATAACGTTACCTTTCGTTGACAATATAATCGTAGACAAGCCATCTCTAAACGAGGGAATGCGCGGTGCGACACCCGCTCCGCAACCACCCCGCGCCTCCTATCTCCACGTATTTCCGGCTTCGATCCAAATCTAACCGGTTTTTGCATCTAGACGGGATAAATCCTGTGCAATACCTACTTATATTTTAACAATATTAAGTACTTTTGAAACTTAAAAAATTATAAAAAACTGTTTCTTTCCTTTAATTTACTACTTTAGACATTTATTATTTATAATAAAGACAAATATACATATTTAATGAAGTAACACAAATCAACTTATATTTCTTAAAGTCCTTTTATCTCAGTATATTATACAGCCACCTCTCTAGAAACAGTAATGTTAAAATATTAACTTTTTTCATGAAAAGATCGTACCGTGCATACAGTTTCTTATTACAAATCAGACTTATGTTTTTTTTTTAAATAAATTTACCTAATAGAAATAAAATCGGCTGTAGATTTACCTATTAATGCTTACTATTTAATTTCTTATATGTATTTACAGTTGTTATTATACATTTTTTACAGTCATGGCGTCTTTCCAACGAGCATTGGTATCAAAAGTTTTATCGCCACTTTATCGGTTGCGTTGGCGAGATTTTATACGGCAACGTTACATACCTTTTGACGTACGACAATTATTATAGAATTAAAAAATATATTAAAAAGTTATTAAGATATGTTGATAGAATTGAGACGAAATTACTCTTACAACACAATGTTCCAACAAAATGGAATAAAGAAAGTAATTTTATATTGATGCATATTTTCTTTTAGTTGTTTTAGTCGAAGTTATGTAATAGACAGATTATGAACATTGATATCTTAAGTTGTTTTTAATTACTAAAGTTCTTACTTTGAACTTGGACGGATCCAGTACACGTCAGTTCACTAGACTTTGTATAATATGACTAGTCTCAACCCTTACAAGACTCAATTTTCATTATCTACTTTGTCGGTACCTTTATATCTACAACTTGAATCCTTACATTGTTATAAATTGTACTTATATATCTAATACTAGTTAATAATAATAATTTCCTTTTATCAGGTAATAATGGTAAGGAGAAGGAGAATGCTCGCAGCAAGGAGGCAACGTCGCCGGCGGCGCGCTCTGCTAACGGTCAGTACTCAATATTATTTGCTTATTATAACCATTTCGAACCTCCAAAAACAGGGTAAGTAATGCCGATCGCTATACCGCGTTGCTATAGCAATAACAGGGAGTTAGAGCTTGAATGAGTGCTTTAATAATCGAGCCGGGTACGATCGAAGGGGGCGCGTAGGGTGCGAGGTGTCGGGAGCGAGGGCGAGAGGGGTAAGAGTCCCCGGGGGTTGCGTCGCCCCGGCGCCCAGCGCGCAGTCGCAGTTGCCACCCTCGCGTAAGCCGCTCTTCCCCACCCCGCGCACACCCCGCTCTGCAGGGGCGAAAACGACCCGGCAAGACAGCCGGCATTTTTGCGGAAATTAGAATTCACCCTATATAACTGGAAAACATATTCGTCGGGTCTCGTTTACGGCATTAAATGTTAGTAATAAAGCGAACGTTGTCGCGACGGCATTAACCGACGATCTATTTATATTATTGACGCCGTTTAGTTACGACGAGCCGCCATCAATCATGGCGATAATAATAATTATCGCGTCGCACAGGACGAGAGGCAAAACAACGAGCCGGAGCGGCGAGGACACTAGCACTGCCCGAATATAAACATAGCCGATGCTCGACGCTTCAACTTGGCCTTCCGATCGGTAACGAAGTGCCGTCTAATATACAATGACAATGCGTATCACTGCACCCGGTCACACTACTTGTTTAAATTTTAAAAGCAGAAATCAAATGTTTTTAACGATTTGAATTTGATTTGAACTACATTTGATTTGAATATCGGTATTAATTTCAAATCAAATAGAGAAAGCAGTCTTTAAAGTTAAACATATCAAGCGCTTTGTTCAGTCGCTATATAAAAAGATGATAGAAATATCATACAAAATGACTCAGAACTTAGGATGATATTGAACAATTAATTAGATGGAAGTAGAACAAACTAATTACAAAAGTACGATACATGACTAACAAGGTTATACTTATCTACGTGTTTAAATTAAAAACGGGAGACAATAGGTCCGAAATAGACACGTAACCGATGCTCAGCTGTTCCGATAAACATTTATACATAATGTCAAGTTGTCAGACGTGGCCTATCAACGGACGAACACAGATAGTACGACATCCGCCTCGGCAACTAGGCAGCGGCAACGACGCGCCCTGTGGCCTGTGGGTAGACATGTTTGGAACGGAACAATACAAGCGATCTCTATGCTAATGATGATTAATTGTTGTCCACAAAAAGATAATGATATCCTTTCCACCGAAATGTTTTTGAATGATGTCATTATACATGTTAAATGTAATTTATTTGATTTTTTTTTTAATTTTGTTTTATATACGAATATAAAAGGAATTGTTTTTACCCTGAAAATCAAACTTCAAATAAGCCTTAAAGTATTGTAATATTTAGTTGAATAAAAATAAAGGCGAATTTCTTCATAAGGATTACGTCATGGAATATTAATCTTATCTGTGCAACTCGGACAAACTACAAAAAACAAACGTTCCATATTCAAAGACTAAAAAACAATTTTCTATCTAAAGCATTATATTTGGCAGTAGGTAATCTACATTTACTCATTACAAATGAATCAATTTCTATGAAGTTAAATGATGAAAGATGTTAAAATGACGTCATACCTTCACTGGCTCAAAATAACATGCTTAATTGGTTAGAGTGTAACATCCATTACTGGTATCTGGTGAGCCAAGTGTCGTGGTATTCGTTAATTGGTGTTCTGTCTCGACTCCATTATCTACTGGAGTTAACATTTTGACGACGACTCGTTCTCGCTGCGCTATATGTAACTTATCATGGTTCAACGCTCGTTTTCCTTTAACCCTTTTAAGTGTCCATAGAACAGACAAAGGTTAATTTAATAACTTCAATGGATCAAAAATTAGAGCACTAAGTGCTTAAGACAGGGCATTGTTAATAGAATTTTCTGTTGCTATAAGAGAGGTTTGAAATCGTATCATAGGTCACGCATTTATATGGAAGAGAAGAGAAGTGTACCAAATGTAACGAATGCATATATTCCTATAAGTTTGATTTATAAACGCGAATACTTTGTTTTTTTTATTGTTTAGTTACTGATGCTGGCAGTGGTATCTCGTCAGTAAGGAAGTGCTGTTTAGTTTGGTATCGCGGCTGCATCCGTTTCTCTCGTCAAATTAAAATCGAAAGCATAAATAGTTACAGCATAAAGTGTGTCGTTTGTTTTTATCGTATTTGTACTTAAATGTTATTGAAACTGCGTCCGTAAAATTATACCAGTGTCAGCGTTTTACATCGAACAAGTATTTCAAGTCGCCTGTTAGCATAAATAAACTCTTATCTATTTAAGAGGGAAAGCGACTCGAAAATTCGGTATTAAAGACAACATTCCACGCTTTCCAAATTGAGAACATTCGATGGTTATATATTATAGAATACATAATCTTTTAACTACGTTAATTATTTGACGCAGCTAATTATTTAAAGATAAAAATTAGACAAAACAGAAAACATGGCAGTTAGAGTATTAGTTAAAAAGACTGCAGCACGAAACTACGTTTATTTAAATAATTTATTTTATTATTTTGTATTTATGAGGTCGTCCACCTTGCTTACCTTGAAAACAGTTATCAAATCAAATAAACCTTCTTGCAATAGTGTATACATGCAATATACACTCGTAAGTTACAATACTACTCTTTGTACTCCTTAAAATTTTTATTATTAAACCACGTTCAGAGAAGTGTAGAGATTACTTACATCGCAACTCAAAGTAACATTTTTGGAAGGCTGTTGTTAGTTTCAGATTCCATATTTTTCCGAAACAAATTTGCAATGAATTGTAATTTAATATTTCCTGTCACGTTTAAAATATAGACATAAGTCACACTTTTTCATATAGGTTTTTTTGGCGTACTTTACACCGCCTACTAATATTTATAGTTATTTCTGGTGTACAGCTGGTGGTAAACATTTGCACCATTTGGATCTGTTCCAGTGAATACCTCACAACATATTTAAACATAGTAAACGTGTAAGCATAGTTACACTCCTAACCTCAAATGTTTCATTCATTATTGCGTAATCAAATTACATAATTCGATGTAAAAATACTGTAGCCTTTTTACGTTAAATTTTGTTTTGTATAAGATATGATCTACTTTTGTGTTCTGATTACGTGGCTTAAATACGACCTATTCCTGAGTTAAACGTTATTTTTATCGAATAACCAACGCATCTACAATTTCAAAACTTTATTTTATACATTTAACTAGCTGTCGCCCGCGACTCCATCCGCGTATGCCAAATTTCATCGAGATCCATTCAGCCGTTCCGGAGATACCTTCAAACAAACATCCATATATCCATCCATCCAATCAATCGCATTTATAATATTAGTGAAATAGTAAGATGTGCGAGAGCTTTCAAATGTTAAATTACATCGCAATAATCCAAATAATTTCAATGAGTGTCAGACATTGTATTCGCGTATTGAAAGGATAAGCAGCAACCGTTAGCGGCGATGACCATGCTCATGCCTACATACTGACAAACGAGGTCAATGAACTACCCACATTTGTCTAGTATTAATAATTCATATTGCAGTGGATTTTTCAGCACACGACGCGATGTAACCATGACGATGTAATTAATTTAATTAAACACTTATTTATTAATGCGGTGAAACGCTCTCATATCTCCATGATTAACACTTTAATTGGAATAAATGATTTATGTTTTTTTTATCACAAAGTGCCGAGGTTAGCAGGACATTCACCTTATCTGAAACCTCTACACAGATCAGGATTGCAATCAACATTTCAAAAGAAAAACTCCTGTCCGGCATTAATTTTATATTTACATCTTAAGATAGCGACTTTTATAGAGACAGACTTTTCTTTAAAATTTGTATGTACATAAAACCTAAAACAAAGCGTTGGAACACGTATGTATCCTTTAACTATTTAAATAAAAACGTAGATTTTTTACATTACATAAAATCATTTGGCTATATGTACATTTTCCTTTGTATATAAACATATTAAAAAGCAGCGTGGAACAGAACAATTGGGCAAAATTGTCGCAATGAAATGCTTGCAATGCAAAAGCACATACAAAATATTGAGTTCTTCTAGCGAACCACGGATGAAAAAATTTATGACTTCTTGCTAACCAGCAACGTAGGCTGTCTGTCCTGTAACATACTGACACCTTAAACGAAACCATTAGCTAGTGATGTAAATAGTGCCAAAAGGTATCGATAAACTCTTAACTATAAATATTGACAGCTTTATCTATGCAATTTCGAATGCATAACTAGAGACCCGCTGATCTAAATTAAATTCGTGAAGGAGTTAGATTTCAGCCAGGAATAGCGGCGAATAGAAAATATTGTGTTTCTTTTTCATTTGACGCGGATAAATTCGTGAGCAACAACTAGTCTAATCTATAAAAAATCTTTAATTAGTAGTTTAATTAAGAAAATGTAACATCTTCGATAGTTAGAGTTGTAAGTGCATATTTTTTTAGGTATCGATACTTTTTTATCAAACCTATCATTAGGGTCGTGGGCACGAGAGCGCGCAACGGTACCCGCAATGCCATCTCAAGGAGGCCTTACATAGTTATGTAGGAGAAGGTCGGTTCCGCCTCGCTCCGCTGTCTTGCTACCTTTGTAACTTGAAGTGAGTCAGTCCAATGCATATCTTGCGGGTCTTCGCACATCCGCGCTTCCTCGAACTCACGTTAAAGGGTAATTAAGGTTATAGAATTGCATATTAATGAGTAAGACCTAAATTAGAAGCAAAAGCAGTTTTGTAATTTGTTTTATATGCATTTATATCTCTTTATTGGAAACGTGTTGAAAGACAATTTCCTTTACCATTTTAATTCCTTGACTATCAAAATTTTTTCTTTTCAAAGTTAATATGTTTCCGACAATGAAAACTTATTGTTATATGTCTCAAGCATATACAGAAAATTACAGATTGACATACCGAATACTAATTCCTAGCCGTTAATTAAAAAAATACAGACGAGTGCTTACAGTTCTTTGTAAGCTATTCATTACTTCGCGTATAGCTGAATCATTAAATTAATTAAAGTAAGCTACCAAAGCAAATACATAATGAACATCGTACAAATGATAAGAGGTCACGCGACGATCAGCCGTCAACGACGCGACGCGAGCGCCCCCGGGACACCGGCGATGTTACAAATGTTATGTTTTTCCTTTTATACTTGGAAATAAATAATTAAAATGTTGTCTAAATAAATTACTAATTAATAGTCTAAATAACATGACATTAAACATTATATACTCAATTATTGTTTGTCATAAAAAAATTACTATTATAAAAAAAAATCCACAGTTTTAAGCAAAAAATTGCGGCAATTCTATCCAAAATAGCTATACCACGTCTCTATGAAGGGTTCACCTAACTGCTTCACTGTCTTAATCGATATAAAGACCGAGGGCGCTATTGACTAAACTTGAGCAAATATCTTCTTGAAAATTTTGTAATATTCGCACGTACAATTCGGTTACCAAACTACACGTCTGTGCCAGGTAAAAGACTCAGTTCATCAGACCCGTTTGTTAAAGCTATGTAAGAACGCTGTGGTGATTCTGGTAAGGATTGACCTGTAGTGACAGTGACTTGCCTGAAATTGGCCCGTCCCAAATACCAGTATGCTTATGAGCAACGCCATAATTACACGCAAAGCGTGCCTCGATCATATTGCGGTGTTATTTGATGTTATAAAACACGGACTTTCTTTGGCTTTGCTATTTTTTTTTTAATTAATTACAATTAAACTACGTGTACTTTTAATTTTACCTTACTTCTTACTAATATTATCAATGGAAACGTTTAGATTTATGGATGTTTGTTTGAAGGTGTCGTCCGAACGGCTGAACAGATCTAGCTGAAATTTGGCATAGATGTAGAACATGTATTGGGAGAACACATAGGACATTTTTTTTAATTCCCCGCGGGCGGATTCGCAGGCGACAGCAAGTAGTATTATAATATAGTTTAAGTATCGCGTAAATATGGTTGAAAAACACATTGTGATGAGTAAAACTTTTGGGCCCCACCCTTTTTAATAATAGTTCACAGTTGTATGATTAGCTACTTTATTCTTAAGCATCATGAATCGTTTCCAAGAGAACACCTTGAACTTAATCTTTTTTATTTCTCTTGGTTACCGTTAATCGTAATCGTGTTAGTAACTATCGATAAATAACTGCTCACATCGTTTATCTTAATCAGAAAGAGATAGCAAATAATTTCTCTTTCCCACATCTCTGAATATCGACACTATAAACTAAAGATCAAAATCTTCTTGGTGAAGAGAATCTATTCTGTACAGATAATAAATTTGTGTTCTTTTCCAAGATAATTGTTACTATAATCCCAAATGGCATTGCCTGATACAATAGAGGCCAGTGCCAAATTAATCCAGTGCTATTTGGAAAATACCGAATCAATTTGAATAATTCTTTGATTTGAAATCTCCAAATTAATATAATATAATTTATTTTTAAAGTGGGAACACACAAAAGTCGGAACCAGTGACTGATAAATATAATTCCCAACGTTTCTCACTCTTGGTATGTATGGGATACGGGGCATAAATATTTATCATAATATCGCAATATTGATTTCATCCACCTTATATCTATTCCCTTTAAAACGGAAGCTGTTTCTATATTTACCCTAAAATTATAAAATTCGCTAAAATACCTTTTACTATTCAAATGGTTCTCTTTTTATTTCTGGATTTCCGAGTAGCCATTGAAGTATGGAGTATCGTATCGCATCGTACACAGGCAGCGAAGCGATCTCCATGGTATGGACCTAAGCCACGGCTGCCTTTGCATTATACACATGCGCTACTAGGTGGCATGTAACCAGTCTTGTCGCATTAATATCACGCGCGAATGATTCCATAAACAATTTAAAATTTACTACGACATTTTTATAGTCTCTGTTGTGGATTTTCTACATCATTAACACAAATATTTTTATGACTACATATAATTCGATTTAATACTTATGATACTGACTACACCTTTTAAGTTGATTTTTAGTTAGTAAACGTAGTAGTAAAAAAACGTTAGGTTTTGTTATGTGAAAGGTAATACACATGTGTACTTTGGTAATGTCGATTTTGTTAAACAAATGACTACGCTGGCGTACACTAAACTTATCGCTAGAATGTCCATGTCGTATTATCACATTGGGCTTATGTGACTATTGCCATTGGACAGATAAAGTAACTTTCCTTTTAACCAACATTCAGGCAGCGATAAGATAATGAAAGGCTTGTTGCAATAGATTGTGGTTTTCGAAGCGATATTGTTGCAGTAATCAATCAAACTTTAATATAACAATTTTTAAATGTACTACTTAGTTAGGTTAAAAGGTATAGAGGACATTGTAATTTAATTTCCTTGTAATAAGTACTAAAAGTGTGAGCATAAGAGAATACTGTTGCACTCGTGTTATTTCGAATTCGTTCTTTTACACTATGTTTTCTGAGTAAAAAGTAAAATTTGTCTAAGATTATCCCAGTCGTAAAATAAAAATGCCGCAATGGTGGATCTGGTACAATAAGCAGTTATCGTGTAGGTCTGTCGTGTTAGTCGGACAGACCGCGGTGCGGAGGGGTAGACGGGCAGGAGGGTGCAGGACGCAGGCGGCGGCGGAGGACGGAGGCTGCGCGATCGATACTCCCGCCGCCGCCGCCGCCGCGCGCCGACGAAAGCGAACGCACCGCCACCGCCGCTCCGACCTCGCTGCCCTTCACCGAAGTGTCGACGAACCCTGCAGCCATCCCCCCTGCCCGCCACCACCCGTACCTACCCCTGACAATCCCCCTCACCTCGCCCCGCACCGCACAACCACCTCCTAACTTCACCTCCACGCCCCCGCTACCCTCTCGGCGCAGCCCTTCATACATCCTGAAGATGATCTTCGTGACCCGATTAGATATTTAAAACTTCACCGTCACCTTTGTTCGTCTCCCATGTCGTCAGCGAAATGATTCATATTCCAAGACGGTTGGGTTGTTCACCGGACGAATAATTACGATGAGTCATTGTTAACAGAAATATGTCTAATAAAATCATAAAAGGGTTTCTTTTCTAAGCCCAAAACATATGGGGGAAAAGTGGTTAAAATAATAATTTTCATTACAACTTATTGGGGCACAAAGCAAGACAAATATCGAAAAAAATCATACGATAAACGAACATTCATCTTAAACAAAAATTGAAGACAAAACAAAAAATTATACCTTATTTGTCATGAGTCATCAGACAGTCTTGTTCACGAAGATAAAGATGTTTGACTTCATTAACTTTAATTCGTCTATCGTTATCACTATATGTGATATTGAAATACGAGCACATGGCGCATCCAATCTTTGCGGGGAATCTAGCCAATGAACTTGAATGGCAGGCCTCCACTGCGCACGCTATAAATAGTCAGCTAGCGATAAGTAGATTGAGCGTTGAGATGCTACCAGACTACATTGTACGTGATTTACTGTCTCCCATATTGATTTTATAATTTTATCTATTATTTTTATTACAATAAATTATATTTTCTTTAATTTATGCGCTAGGGATTTTCATAAACAACGAATTTTTTATCGGGAATCAAATATCAGAGCGGATTCGCGGCGGTTATTTTAGGCATCAAGGCATTTGGGACGTTCGCTGGAAAACATCCATACTGCACTATTCTCGGACGCCCTACTAACGACACGACACTTCATTACCACGTATTCAATTACAATACAAATGTTATTTTGCAAAACCTAATATTCAATATTAATTTAAACTATACATCGATCTGGTATATTGAATCTCAGACGTTCACGGTCTTATGATTTTAAAACTAATTCACGTATCTCTAGAGCGATAAAAACGTGCAGCTAATTAGGCTTAGCTGTAGCGCTTCAGTTGCAACTCGAGCAAACGAGGTTGCGGCTAAATTAATGTTTTCGTCTAATACAGAAGAGTCAACATAACGGTCCTCGCGCATTGTTAATTAAACTTGCGACTTAAAACATGCTATAGTTTTGAATCATGTTATTTTGGATTTTTTATACATTAAGAATTATACATTTATTGTCGAATTGACGACAACCATTAAATATTTATTTTGTATCGAATTGAAATGGTATTAATAAAGAATCTTGGAGGAGACAAAATGAAAAAAATCGAACACGTTTAGCAGTAAAGCAAATACAGCGCATTTGCGGCTGCGATGCGGCCCTGGTATCGACCCTGCGCGGCCGACAGACAGGCGTACCGCGTACACTTGACATTCTCGCTCCATTCCCTACCCCTTAGCTAGGGGTAAGCGCTCTCGACTCCTACAAACGTATACAAATGCTTCATCAGCCATTATTTAGAAAAATCGATATGTAGCTGTTGAAGCATTATTATTCGTGGACTGTTTTACTGTATGCAATAAGGATAAAAATATCTACCATATACCAAAACAGGAAAATAATAATTCGGTTTATACTAGTTAGAACTAAGCGGAAACTCCCTATCTTACTTTAACATTTGTTATTTATTTATATTTAAGTTAAATGAAGCTAATATAATATTTGTTTGTCAATAGGCGATGAACATCCAGGACAGAAACAACGCAAAGGATTCTTTAGAAGCTTCTGGAAAAAATCTCGCCACTATTCCTTGGAGCATCCGTGACGAGACAAGTCGATCTGTGGTATGACCATGAAGTCTCTTCCGTAGCCATTGCGAATGGGGAAGGAACTACGTGACGAGGGCACGTAACTATTCGTTAAGTATGTATACCACGCCGCGAGTTAAATAAGTCATTTCTGTTGTTTTGATCTAAATAATGTAATATTAATTCAATGATTTCATGCAAGAGGGATAAAGTTGTAGTTAGAAATAAAACGTTTGCCATACGACATGGAAGCTGCCAGCACTGTAGCCGGTACGCACATTACAACACGTGACTTTTTATTTGTCTTGTCTGTTGTATTCTTTACATGACTCTGTTGAGTCGGTTGTATAGCGATACGTGCATAAGATTATATAACACGCATAATTTATTTGTAAGATGATAATAAGCATGATTTTTGTGCAATTTTAAAACTTTTCTTTCTTATAAATAGATGTAGAAATGTAGATAGCTGACCATGTAGTAACTTATGTACATCCAACGTTTTCTTTTTATTGGTATTTATAAGTAATTATAACTGCAAATCGACCCCTATGTATTCGCAAAACTATTTATGCCGAGTTATTGAATCTACGCTTTATCTACACACAACTTATATAAGATTAACTTTTAAATGAATCGTTGGATACTAATTACTTTGTACTGTAGGGTTAGATCGTGCAAGATGGTCCTCGTGTTCCGTATGATACATCTTGAAGAACCAAATCACTTGATAGGCATTAGCTACGAGTCTTAACATTTTATACCGATCCTTGTATTCGAGTGTACTTAACTCTTATTATTGTAGATTTTGTCAAGGAAAATAAATTATGTTCATTAGCAGTAAATATTGTTTCATTGATTTTCCCTGAGCCGAGTCGAAGGTAAGTGAAAAGGAAACCAAGACATTATAATACAAATCATTTTATTATAAGATAGACACAGTTCCCATCGCTTATCAGAAACAATGTACAAAGCTATAGTAGTAATATCAAATATAAACAATATGCACCCTTCGTTTACTGCAAGCCTTGTTTCAGGATACAGAGTAATTGAGCGCTTCTAGTTTCTGCTGTTAAGAGATAGAATAGAACAGAATGCAAATGTTTATTATTCACTACACGAGAATATAAATGCTGCGTAATTAAAAAAGGAAGCATAGCGAAATGGCGGCGTGGCGATGGCGCCACGCTCTCGAATCCAATATCTTTGCATTTCTCACACGATGGTTCCAGTGGGACTAGAGATTTTCAATTAAAATCGTAATATTTTACTTGGGTTACAGTGTATTTCATTTTGTAACAAGCCCTTACACAAATGCTTACTTGTAATTACATTTATAATTATGTTGTTATCGTTACAGTAATTTCATTACGTGGTTATTTCATTTCTTCATCGAGCGTCTAAACGCGCACGCGCACGCGCAAATATATCCGATCTGCGAGCAAACTTCCACGATTATACCTACATTACATTTAACGCGAGATGACAACGATTATTATCAGATGGCTTGAAAAGAAATCCAAAAAAATCTCTATACACCATGGCTGAGACCGCTGCGTAGCGGAATATAATTCAATGTACCGGTCGGAAAAAAAGCAAAATTTCAAAATACAAATTGAAAGCACTACGCAGCAACAATTACTCCGAGGAAGCGGTGAGCGTATAAAAGAGTATCCAGAATCCGCAAAGTAATCGCGGCTGCGCGGCTAGCGGCTTGGGCTGGGCGGCTGGGCGGCTGCGCGGCCGCTCGGCGCGCATCGGCCGCACACGACGCCGCCTCAATTTACCAATATCAAAACAAATGAACGGTCCTTATCACTTTTATAGAATATACAAAATGCAGTTACTTATTTCCCTGTGGAAAAAATATTATCTTATAGTATTCTTAGATCACGGCGCGCTTCGATCTGCGAACAAAATGGTTCACTGTTAATGCACCGCTTCAACCATAATAAAATAGTAAATCAGGGTTAAATGGCAAAATAATTTACCTCTAATAACCACAGGTAACTAAATAATCTCCTAATTTCTCCACTACGGATGCAGCCTGCTGGGGTTGGATGGGGTCTTCATACAGTGAAATTACGACGGCTGTAAAAAAAACGTTCGTTCAGACTATCTTAAAATAGATACCTTATCATCTAACACATCATGCAGTACTCGTAAGCAGAGATTACGCTCCGGACAATGTAGTACATAATAGAATGTCACTTCGCTTTGATTGTGTTTACATGAATCTACGACCGACGAAGCCGTAATAGTGCGTGGGAAAAACTCTTTATGGCACAGATGGCAGACTCCCGCTGGCAATTGTAACAACGTTTGATCCATAGGAAAGAGGGTTCTCTATCTATAAAACAAATTCTTAAAATACCTCAAGTATTGACGTTTTATTTGAGTGTAAACCGATGTAAAGTTCGTAAATGTTAGTGAAAGAAAATCTATAAAGTTGACAAAATTTAATGATGTTTTTTAGAAAATTATTAAGGAAACGTAATCTAAAGCTATAAATGAAATAACTGGTTTTATTATAGTATTTTATTTGCGATTGTATTGTTTCACGACAAATCTTTTCAAGTTTTTTAAAAAAATATATTCGTAGACCCTTTAAAAAAACTTTTTCGAAAATAATATGATGTTACGAAAACTCTTCGCATGACTCGATTTGACCTTTAACAGCTCGTCAAAGGTCTTTCCACTTGGCCAGTCCTTTAGGCGGCGGATCGATCCCGATAGCTCTGCCAAACCGCGCTCGCCATTCGACAGAACAGGTTTGCGCCGTTCGGCCAACGGTACTTCGAACTTACTATACAGGTGCTCGATAAGAAAGTGGTAGCGCGCTTTTAAACAACTATTGTCTGGTTTAAGAAATTATTGTATTTGTACTACTCGAGTTTCTTTTTATACCGTGTAAGTACTGGAACAATTTGGCCATTAAAAGAAGCTTTAGCTGCAAATAACCTTAGTTTAACGATCCAATAAGAAATAAAACACTAAATTACAAATTATAACTATTACAAATAAAAATAATCATATTGTTCTTGCTATAACAATTGGTAACTGAACTACGACAATCATTCATCAAATTGTTATTAGTTACGAAACAGAACTTAATACATTAATAGACCGCATTAGTAGCATATTAAAGAAAGGAGGATTATGATATTATGCCTTAAAAGGAGGGTGGTGTGCCGAAGTGGCCAAATCGAAATCTTTAATCTGAAATCTACTGACCCTGCTGCCTATGATGCATTAGTTTTATTATTTTTATTCTTTATTCACGAAGGACTAGCATACTAGCATAACAGTTAAAAGACCGTATAAGTTAGCTAGCACAGGTTAGCCTGGTTACCTTGAATTGAGAAATGGGAACAAAGGTTTTACATCCTTATCAGGGCAGAAGGTCAGGTATGGTGGGGAGAGTCAGGTATGGTGGGAGGCATTACACGCTCACCTTGCTGCGTCTTCATGCAGTGGACGCCGACCTTGCCTAGCTTGGCGCGTATGATGCGGTCTGTGCCACTGAGGTAGATGTACCGCGTGCCCGCTATCGTCACGCCGCCGCCCGTCAGCAGTGATTCATTCTCGAAACCCGCCACTATCTTCGCCACTTCATCTTTCGATATCTATTAACAACCAAATAATTTATTAATACACAATTTATGGAAACAAATTTAATTATTACAACAGGAAAAATGTAAAAGGTATGAAAATAATTCAATTTGAGGAAATTGGAAGCAGGGTGTAAGTTTTATATAAGTAAGTAAACTGGGTTCCTTCAGACTATTTTGCTCATTCATGCCAAATCACATAGATTCGTTTAGCTGTTCTGAAGATATGCTATAACAAACATTCATCTAAACTTTCACGTTTATAATATTAGTAAGATATGGAAAATTTAAATATTGAAGGCTCAAAATTACATTAAAGCATAAATGACACAATTAACTAAGATTATTCATTTATCTTATCAAATATCATAGGACCAAAAACATCTTAAAAATTACTCCAATAAGAATAATGCATGCCATAGATTAAAAGACTAGCTGTTAGTAAAATAACCTACTGATTTTTTGTTTAACACCATGTAATGATATTTCAACCACCGATTTTACGAATAACCAAGCCCTATGTTTTTTGTTCGGTATAATTATATTTTATTGTAACTTCAGCAAGCAAATATAAAATGTTACAATGTACTCAATTTAATTTAGCTTTGGTTAATATTGAAGCAATACTTTATTACAGTGGTTTAGAATAAGTTTGGGGGAAGAAAGATGAAGGTAAAATATTCCATCTCTCACAAAAGATATACTATGCAATCCCAAACCTCAGCAGGAGTAACATATAATATCAAAATGAGATGTCTTATGAGTTAGGTTAGATATTTTGTTATTATTTCAGTGAATAAATACTGGTTATATTATGCTTAAAAGTTTAACAAAAGATTTGAATGTTACTCAAGATCCATCATATATTTGTCAAATAAAACCTGTGACTACATGCTGCAAAAAAAACACATATTTCATAAAAAAAATTACATTCCAATTCCAACAGTTCAAACATATATCAAGACTGAGAAATAATCAAATGTACACCAATAAACCCAACCTTGAACTCGATCTATGACCACACCTCGCTTTTTTATTACTCCAATTTGATAAATTAAAAATTACAGTATTGAGCTCAAATAGACTGTAATAACAATACTCATAATTCCAATGAGTTTTCACAACCAAAACACTTGAACAAAAATAACTTTAAAAATAATTAACAGAATGACAATTTGGTTTCATATGTACATAGCCAGTGGAAAATCATCAATATACTTGAAAGTACAAATTAACTTTTTAACTATACTCTCTCATTATATATATCTCTCTCATTTAATTCAAAAATCATGTATATATGAGAAACCACCATAAAACATCTAATTCCATAAGCTACATCTCAACACACCGCTGCAAGCTATAATTTTCCATATTTTTATGAAATACTTAATACTTATACTTGTTTCATTTATAAGACAAAATACGATAACAGAAATAGAAATATCAACGTAGTATTTTTTGGTCAAAAGGTAAAGTTCTTTGTAATGAAAATCGTGATACATCTTTATCAATATGAACTGTAGAGAAAATCAATAAGTACGCCAAAAAATTACATTTATATTTTCTTGGTTTTTTGTGATAGCCCTAACAATAAGCGGCGACGTGTAACCATAACCAAGACCGGCCGGCTTTTACAACAGATTTTATATGGCTTATAGAAAGTGCTTAAAGTTTTAATGTTTTTTATCAAACCTTATTCATTAATCTTACAGAAAATCAGTGTGAAGTAGACAAAGCTATCGTAAATACGTCGTTTTATTTGAATTAACTATAACCACATGTCGCCATCTTGTCAAACTTGCCGGATTCGTCATCCATCCTTACAAAAAATCTATAGCAATTGGAAACACTATTTAGGCACTCAAAACATATTATCACGTATGGAAAAAGACAAATCACTGACCACTTAAACGTAACAAAGCCATAAACTTACATCGAAGCCTTCCGACTTGGCCCAGACATTTCCATCGTGACCGGCAATCGCAGCCTTTGTTACACATCTGGATGCCAATAACTGTTTATCGACATAATCTTGCCAGCTCATTTTGAGTGAGTTCGTATGAAATAAAACTAAACTTGACTAAAACACGATGTAGTCTTCGCAACGAGCAAACGCTCCACACGAACAAAAAGCACTGCCGTTTCAAAATGGCAGCGTACTCATAGACACTACAGGAAGTGAAGTGCTACCAACTAAAATAATGTTTAAGTTGCGTTCTCCTCTAAAGTCATAGACAATCGTTAAAAATTTTCACATAGAAAAAATGATTAAGGGAAATAAAAATTAACTTAACTTAATTGACTGGAACTTAATTTATACATAATGATAATTAAAACAATTTAGGAGAAGTATTCTGTGTTAAGTCTGATACAGGCCCATTCATACATTTTACTGAATCTTTTCCCCTCACTGCATTTTTATAGTGTGGATAAATATTCCACCAAAAATGAAAAGAACACGGAACAGATTTCTCCTATTATATATATTTTTTCCTCTACTCTTTTGGGTCGTTATCGCTAATGCATACATATCTACAACTCGTTTCTTTGCCACATATTAGCTTAAAAGGTTCCTAACAGCAGGGACTCCTTTGTCTTCTTTTTACAATTTAACAAGCTAAAACAACTAACTCGAACTCGAAATATTTAATTAAATGACCCTTTAGTTTTTTCTTGTAGAGAAATCTCGACTTCTCTCTAACCAGTAATTCTTACTTTCTTCTTGTTTCTATTTTCGTTAAGGTTTATCTTACAACTTTAAAACACGGTAGAGTTTATTCCTTTATTATGTAGTATAGAAGTTGAATTCTTTAGTATAAAATATAGCGAATTGTAACAACTGTTCATTCAAGGTAAATTCAATATTTTCTTCATAAGTCGTATGTTTGATGGTGCAATTACTATATTTTGTTTGGATTTAAGAATTATATCTTAACTATTATGAAATTTGAGCTTTCAATTATCAATCAAATTAAATAAAACATTTTTACTTATATTACACAATTACTCTTTTAAATTATGTTTTTGCTATTCTAGGTTCTGAAGTCTAAATTCTTTGCATATGGTATCATTTTAGGGTTGTCTTTTTCCCACCTTATAGTTTCCCTTTTACCTATCTCTTTCTAATTTTCAATTCTGCTTTGAAGTACAAATGCGAACTTCCGTCGTTTTATTTCCTATTTAATTCCATTCGTTAACAATCTTACGATATTGCACCTTAAAAAATTTACTGTATTTCATAAATAATTTAAAAATATTTAAGAATAAATTTTGTACAATTGAAGGCTAAATTAGTGTTCATTAATATTGCCATAAAAATCCTTGGTTAAACTTAACTTGACCTTGCTAGTTCTTTTCCGTTCAGCTACCGCGATTGGAACATGTCTTATTCACCTGAAAGAAGGTAAGTCTAGTTTTTGTATTATACTAATGCTCTTTTACATACGATTATGATAAAAGATGTTAGACAAATATAAAGCTGTACAAAACTTTTGCAAAATAACTTATGTTCATTGTAAATAACCCATAAAATCATTCTCCACGGCCGACGATTTGCCAACATGGCGCTGGCAGTAGAACATATTAGTAATTCGGCTCAATGCACGTGTATTACTGATGTAATTATGTATTTATAATGTTAATCTATCTAATATATTCAAAAACTGGCGTAAAAATAATTTTATTCCTTATTTTTAGGCATAAAACGCCAAACAACAGAGAAATGCCATTTTGACAGTAGTGCGATTTTGATGGTTTTTGCACATTCATTATTTTATTGCGCCATATAATAAAGTAATATCTTAGTGTTAAGATATTTTTAGTAGAATATTGTTCTATTCTTCACAGATCAGAAGAGTGGCCGGAGGATTCGAAAAATGGCCAGTCAAAGGATAATTATGAGGGCTCCACCGGCGCCGAGCACGAAGCGCTGGATACAAACTGGCATCAAGTCGTGGAAAGCTTTGATGACATGAACTTGAAGGAGGAATTGCTTCGAGGGATTTATGCGTATGGTTTTGAAAAACCATCTGCCATCCAACAACGGGCTATTATGCCATGTATCGAAGGGCGTGATGTCATAGCTCAAGCCCAGTCTGGAACCGGGAAAACTGCAACTTTTTCCATTTCTATTTTGCAACAAATCGATACTAGTATTCGTGAGTGCCAAGCGCTTATTTTGGCCCCCACCAGGGAATTGGCTCAACAGATTCAGAAGGTATGATTTGAATAATCAAGTGAAATATAAAGTGAAGTTTTTGTGTAGTTTGAAAGACAATAAATTAAGTGTTACTGTTTTAGGTGGTTATTGCTCTTGGTGATCACTTGAATGCTAAATGCCATGCTTGCATTGGTGGCACCAATGTGCGTGAGGATATGCGCCAACTAGAAAGTGGAGTGCATGTTGTTGTTGGCACACCTGGCAGGGTATATGATATGATTTCTCGTCGGGCACTACGTGCTAACACTATCAAGCTGTTTGTGCTCGATGAAGCTGATGAGATGTTGTCTAGAGGGTGAGTCATTATTATTAGTATCTTTATAATTAATGTAAGGTTGCAATATAGTATTTTTTTAACATGCATTATTTGTATCAGGTTTAAAGATCAAATCCATGATGTATTCAAAATGTTGTCGGCCGATGTTCAGGTCATTTTGCTCTCTGCTACCATGCCTGATGATGTATTGGAAGTGTCCCGATGCTTCATGAGAGAGCCTGTTCGCATTCTTGTGCAGAAGGAAGAGGTAATGTAGAAACATTTTATGTTTTGTACTTATATGTTTTTTGTTCACAAGGATGTGAACAAAATGCTATTTAATTTGTGTTTGATGCTTGATAAAAAATATTTTCCTTTGAAATTTCTGGTTCTAATACACTATTTAAAAGTAGTATATAATATAAATTGCAAGGATGGTCAAACAAAACCATGTATTAAAAAAAATAGTTTCAAATCTTATGGTTTTTTGATAATGCATACAGAACTTCCAATTTTATTAATTTTATATAGATTATGCTCTTTTAACAATTTGCAATTATTCCATCTAAATGTGAAAGATAATTGAATTAAAAATCTATAAGTACTTGATGTAATTAGTATGGTTTCCATAAGAAAACATTACCATTGTGCAACTTGCATGTTGTATAAATAGTTCTAGATCATTCTTTCTATTATATTGAAATTTTATATTAATATATAGTCCATTGTTAGATATGTAATGGTGACTCAGATGAATCCTATAATATACTTGAGATAACAGACATATTATATGTTATTTAAATGTTTTATATTATATTTTGGATGTAGATTTATGTTCAACCCGTAAAGTTAGATTTTTTTATTTTTAGCATTGTTAGTATTTTTGTAAGATAAGTTATTTTTTTTAATGTAGGAGTAGGTTTAAAAACCATTTTATTTGAATTGTATTAAAGGCACTTCCATTTCTTGCATATTTTGCAATAATTAGCTATGTTTTGTTGAATTAATTAATTCTGAATAAGTTGTGTTTGGACATATTTTTATTTAATCCTTATGTATTTTAAAGATACTTAATATATTACATATACATTTAATTTAATCTACTTATTTTCTTTTTATAGCTCACCTTGGAAGGTATTAAGCAGTTCTTTATCTCCATCGAGTTAGAGGAATGGAAATTGGAGACTTTGTGTGACTTGTATGACACCCTGTCTATTGCTCAGGCTGTCATTTTCTGCAACACTCGCCGCAAGGTAATGTTTTTGATTTTACTTGGGTTTTTAGGGTATGTCAATTATATTTTTAGTAAATTGCTTGTTTTACTTAGTGCACTGTCAAATATTAAAGAGCAACAACTTTCTTATGTTATTTCCAGATATTTTTTTTCTTTCTTTTGTCAGAATTGTACATTTGTTACTTTAACTATACAAAATTTATCTTTTTACGATAAATTTAAGACTTAGTAACTTGGATCAAAGCCAAATTTAAATACAATGTTACTACTATCTTAATACATTGTAATGCATTAACTCATGAATTCATGGAAAATGTAGAATGGCCATAAAACTTGTGATGCACCTTTGTTCAATACCACTTTCATGTATGATGTCATATAAAATGGTTGAATATAAAATTAGTCGCAGTTGAGTACATTCCCACATTATAAGATTCAAAATATTTTTAGACAAATAAAGCTAGGGAGATTCTTTCATTAGTCTGCTTATTTGGTAAGCCAATCTCCCTATTTTCCCCCTCAATTTGATCGACATTTTGATTTATTTTAATAAAATCAAATTTCAGGTGGACTGGCTGACAGAGTCGATGCACCAGCGCGACTTCACCGTGTCCGCCATGCACGGCGACATGGACCAGCGCGAGCGTGAGGTGATCATGAGACAGTTCCGTACGGGCTCCTCCCGTGTGCTCATCACCACCGACTTGCTCGCTCGCGGTATTGACGTGCAGCAAGTGTCGTGTGTCATTAACTATGACTTGCCTACTAACCGCGAGAATTACATCCATCGGTAAGTAAAAATTAATGCAAAAAAAGATCTGTTGTATAGATATTCATTGATATTATTGTACAAAAAATCCACTGCTGAATGAGAGGTGCTTAATGTTGCTGTCTTAGATTTTAAATCATGTAATGAATCAGCAGCAGGTATTTAGAGGTATATACGCCAATTTTGTGTATGTACTTAATTTAGGACAATTGTTATATAATACATATTTAATTTCAGAATTGGAAGAGGCGGTCGTTTCGGCCGTAAGGGTATCGCTATCAACTTCGTAACTGAAGCTGACAAACGTGCACTGAAGGACATTGAAGACTTCTACCATACAACTATCACTGAAATGCCCAACGATGTGGCCAACCTCATCTGAGGTGCCTGCGCATTCCGGTTTATACTTTGTGTCCTGCATTCTATTGCGATATTTATACGGTGTGAGTATTAGGAGGGACCTCCTAAGTACCACTGTGCTGATTTTTTTTATTGGAACTCATTTAATTTGGACCGATATATCTGTTTTAGTTTAATTAATGAATACATTATACTATAGACGTATCATTATAAGTTTAATAAATATACGTAGGAGTAAGACCGGCTCGGCCGGATGGCCCCCGTTCCGCGTAGGCCCCTCTGCCATTTGCAGAGAGGTCTCATCGGGTACTGGAGAGGCTATTTCAATCACAAAAGTACCAGAAGGAAATGTATTGTGTAATTCTTTTTTCCAGTTGTACATAATATGGTAACTGTTTTTGTAATACGGTAAATAAATAAAATTAAATATAATATTCCTGTATTGTTATTGACATACGCCATAGCACTCCACTCCCGATCGGAACCTTAATTCTCGTGGCGCATTTTACTCAATTGTACAAATTTTGTTTACAGAAGACCTCCCCACTCAGCCTGTTGAAACGCACTTTGGACACAACTATGTGGAAATAATAAATCAAAATTTCCTTAATAAGTAACTTTTTTTATAACACAGGTCCTTTTTGTTATCCTGTATCCCCAACCACTGCTTTTTGCATTTTATTGTTTTCTACATGGTTTTATGTTCATTTCGATTTATTTATATTTTTGAAATAAATTTTGTTCAAAGTATAATGAAGTTGGTAATTAAGGTTCCTAATTTTGCAGATTATATAACGTTCAAAGTGGATCTGTAGTAAGAAAAGCGTAATATTAGTTGAAGCGATGGATCTCGACTTTGTTTCCAGAACAATGTTGCTCTGTCTATATAGTCCTTAAATATAAGCTAAGTACCAGAAACTACTAGTATTGTTTAAACATTTATCAGCAATCAGTCTATTGGTGTAAATGTGCTAACATTATTTATCTGAAATTCAATAAACTGCTACATTAGTTGCTAACAAGATTTCTAATTTCCTAAGGAAAATACCACTTCCTGTAGTGTACAAAACTGTGATCTGATCAATAAAGGTTAATAAAAGACCAATCAAGAATAATAATATATTTAGAATAACAATGAATAATAATAAATAGATCAACATTTCTATTCAATTATCTACTTAACAATAATATCTATGTCAATAAATTAATATCACATTTCTGGTAATATTCACCCGAATCAGTAAAGAATATGACCAAACTTTCAAGAAATATCATAAAAATGCAAACAGAAGTATCAACAACAAAACTGACACTGGGAAAATAATATATACTGAGGTTCGAGGGTGACATACAGAAGTTAAAATAAATGATTTATCATTTTTAAAGCCATCAGTCGTGGGAACTTCCACTATTACCAACTCATCACTAAAAATACTTATATCAAACTCACATTCAGTACTGTTGAGACAGACCTTGGTGTCTGACATGTTAGCATATTGGAATGTTGGTTTATAAATATCAAATATTGCATGAATATCATTATTCACCAAATCATTGTCACTATAAAATATATAGTAATAATACCCGTCAGATTGTATTTTATGTTCAACCTTTAATATTGTAGTATTTTCTAAATAGTTGGTACTATTACATTCCTTAGAATATGGAAAGAAATTGTTCATTAGTATGTTATCATTGTAACATTCGTGTAAATTGTTCTCAAAGCTTGATACTGAAGCATCTTCTGATATATTTGTCGCATTATTTGCATTCCCACCATGATAAACTCCTGTGTCCAATACAGTATTTGGATTGTGCAATGGCATACTTGCTCCTGATCTTTTTTGTCTTTTATTGGAATGTTTATTATCTAAATTGTCTTGAATATCCTCACGTTCATTTGATTGTTCCCCCACATTTTCATGTTTCTTCTCTAACAATGGTACATCATTTCCTTTTTTTCCGAGATTTTCCAAGGTTACAGATACTTGACCTTGTTTATCAATTAATGATGGATCTTTTCTGTATTTACTACCATCTAATATTCCACAAGTGTTTAGAATTTTGTCTCCTTTTACTACTAATATTTTTGAACCTTCATATCTGGAACAGGCTTTCAGTTCAACAGTTGCTCCAGCAAAGAGAAAGAAACCCCAATATTCTAAAGTATCATCTGGCATTTTCATTGATTTTCTTAATTTAATGTGTCTTGTCTTGTTAGATAGTTCAGGTCTGCCTTTCATTTGGAATGCATTGAATGTGTTGTTCATTTTCAAGGAATGTTTTTCACAGAAAATTGATGATTGTCCCTTATGGATTTGGATGACATCTGAATCTGATATTTTGTACATAACATCAGCATATCTAATATTCCTTAGATACAGTGATGACACTATCAAAGTTGTGGGTAGAATTGTAGTCAGAAGGCAGAACATAATTACCCGCTGAGATCCATGCATTTTTGCCCCATCTAAAAACATTTCTTTGTTAGTCAAAAAGTGCACAGTATAGCCTAATGTGAGTTAGTTATAACTAGAAAAATATATGCTGTAAGTTTCTGAAGTAACTAACAAATAAAAATAATATTTAAATGTTTGGTTTATTCATAACACTGAGAAAAGAAAGTAGGCAAAGAAGACAAATATGCATGGATATCTAATTGCAATATTTTCTGTTTAACATGTTTTAAAATAAGTAGCTTAAAATATAAACCTCTTAGAAGTCTTGCAACCGTAGCTGAAGAAAAACTATAACTACACAATATAAGCACAACAATTAGGTGCATAACAAATGAAGTTATTATTTTCACAGGCTGTGCAGTGATGGTAAGATAAACCAAGCTATAATGTGTTATGCAAGCTATTTAAATTTGACTTGAATATTACTAAATTCTATCTAATAACTAAAATGAATGGTGCATTTGCATAAAGAAATAAAAACATAACTGCTTGTGAATAATAGAATTTATTAAAAGAAACATTGATTTTGAGAAGGCCAACCACATAGATACATGTATACAGAATGTACTATTAAGTGTATGGCTGTTTTCAATCATTCTCAGAAGTTTCGCATAGTTGATAGACAATATTTCTCTGCATGACGTTGTTACCTAGCCCTTTGTTATTTTACATTTTCTGTCCTCAACCATAAAAATTTCAGAACTCAGAACCTGTGGCAAACGAGCATAACTTAAAATAAATTGTACTTTATACAAAGATTTTCCCAATCTACAAAATTAAAAAAATAACTATAAATAAGCAATTTTATTTTACTAAGCTAAAGAAGCGACATTTAGGTAATTAAATTTATTAGAAAGCGAACATCGGGCATAAAATGTTACTGCAATACCTGTATATTTTACGATGAAGACAAAATACTTATACTCATCCTTTGAAAGAGTAATCGATCACTTACGGAAACAGGTTGTTTGGGTTGCGATATTTTTTAGCGAAAAATGTATTGAGTATTGAATTGACATCACAGATTGTCAGTGTCAATGCCATCAGTATTTGCGTTTCCATTTTCACTTGACGAATTGAAGATCAAATATTATTTTATTATTATACCTTTGGTCACATCTACATATTTTGCAATACTACATCCAGTTTTAACTCCGACTTCTATTTAAAACACCGAATTTTCAAAATATATCTTTATACAGACTCCGTAATATGCACCGGTAAGTTTTTTTAATAGAGCACTATGTTCTTAATTTTTCGTCAATGAAAAACCTCGACATTTAAAAATAAGCGTATACTTTCATTATTTTATTCGCACATAAAATTCACACTAGGGAAATCGCTCACAATTTGTATTTTATTTACGGCTGTAATGTTGCGATTTTTTCGACTATTCTTCAATACTCTTAATGTTCGGATGATATTTTATGTGGACGACTGTATGAGCGTACGAGTTTAAACCCTACAGTTATTATATTTTTATAAACCCATATATTTCACATATTTATAAAAACTACTTACTTATATTATTGTATGACTAGCAAACAAAAGAACATGTTTAATATTTCAAATAGATTTTTTTAAGAAGACGACTGTCTCTTTAAAAACGCAAAAACTTAAATTATTAATCTCGTGATGTTCCCGTACGAGATAAGAGATAATGTCTTATCTACAACAATGTATGTAACATTTACAATTAATTTACTAATCTACTTTATCTTGTAATATTTGCAACATGCTTTGAAATTCATTTTGTTTTATTCATTTTTTTATGGCAATTTTAATAAAATCATCAAGTGCAATACCATGAATTTAAAATAAATACTTACGAGTGATAAAATCACCGCAATTGAGAGATACTCACAATTAGCTATTTATTTTTCATCGTATTTTTACCTACCTTTGGGTGCTTATGTGTGCAAAGATAAATTTTTCATATCTGAGAACATCGCAATGAATTTAATACTGTATATAAAAGGAATTAAAACTACACGTAATAACTTTTAAAGACTTCGAAGTAACTAATTGGGTCACCTTGGGGTCATCAGACTTATCGATTTAGTTTACTATAATTTTTCCGACAGTTTGTAATATCACTGGCGCTGACCTATGCTAATATCAAAAACAGATATGAAAGTTTTATTTTGTTCCGACATACCGGACCGGGCCAGTGTTATAATTGAAAACCTACTCAACTGATTTGAATATTTATTATTCGATCAATTTTCAATCAGAAACCCATCCTACCTGTTTCGTCTACTTTCGTTAACAATCTAACTTTTTTTCAAGTTTCTACCAAAAACCGCTTTAGTATTCCTTTAATGAAAATCTATAATAGCTTGAGATGTTTAAAATACACCTCAAGACGACCACACTCGAAGTCGTAGGATTTAAAAAGCAGTAGTAAATTTAAATATATGCCAAAGCTAAAATTAAGTGAAATGTAAACAGAACGCAGCCGATAGTAATCAATACAAAAAAGAGAATATAACAAAACAGGACAGTTATTATCATCTTACTCTTGCGTTATCGCATTTTTTTGTTTATTGATTGGTATTTTTTTATTCGAATACTCACCATTTTGATCCTTGAAATTAACTGAAATGTATTGATAATTAGCATTATGATAACTTAACACCGACCTTTGACACTTTTGATTCATTTTTACATTAATCCTATTTCATTCAAATTAAATAACGAATTATATTCGTACAAATAATAACAAGTCGTCTCGTTCCGCGTACGACACGAAATGGACAAAAGATTTTGATAAGCTTATCGTGTATCGCTTATTACATGTAGCAATTGTTAAATGTTGGATATGATGTGACGTTATATAAATACAACTATCATGAATGGTAAATTGAAAATGTTTCCAACTGTCAACTACATTTTACACATTACACATATTTGCCCATTTACATACATATACATCGAGTATTTATGTAAAGGAAAGTTGAGACTCCATACACTATATGTAGTTACTTTCCTAGAACGAACGCCGTTTCCTTATTGCTGCCATTACAGAATTCGTAAATATTTGATGATTTAAATTAAAGGACGTCCTAGATCTTAATGTCACGTCTAACGGTAATGGACATAGTGTAAAAACGAACAATTAAATTACAATACATTGTTATTTAATACTTTCTGGTACTGCCTATGCACCCGCAAACTTTACAAAAAACCAAGAGGTGTGTTGGGACACCTAGTAAAAGTGAAACGTCTACGAACAAGTGAAAAAACGAATCAAAACGGACAAATTTTAACTTGAAGTTTAATGGGCAGGTTTTCAAATTGGATAAGTACGTTAACTATCTGTTCTTATAAAAAATCTGTTTTTATGGGCGCGCTTTAGAAAACACGCCATCCAATGAATAGAGGGGGGGGTGTATTTTTTTTTATAAGAGAAGGGGGCAAACGAGCGGCGGGAACACCGAGGTGATCAACGACACCCATGGACATCTGCAACACCAGAGGAACTGTAGATGCGTTGTCGGCCTTTAAGGAAATGGTATGCTCGCTTCTTGAAGGTCCCTAAGTCGTATTGGTTTGGGAATACCGCCGAGGACAGACTGTTCCGAACGCCAGCCATCCAGGTGATGTGGATGGAACCTGGCGGTCTGTCGTGTCGTCCGATTACGGAACTCGGCGGCAGGAATCGTTCCAAACAGTTCTTCGGAACACTCCGCATGGTAAATGCGGTAAAAATGCAGAGGGAACTAACGAACGTGTATAAAAAAGGACTGATTTGTCAGTGGCGCATCTATTCCAGTATGTATATAATGTATTTATGGCAAATAAACATTGGTATTTCATTTCTTAACTGAATTCGATTCACATATGTTTGAAGTCAGAATCGATTTTTCGCTTCAATCGATGTTTTTAAGCAGCGCACCCCACTATGAAAATTGATTGATGTCAAGTTGTCAATGTGAAATGAGGCCCATGAAATTGGCCCCCTTTAAAATTATTTTGATTATAAGAATTGTCAAGAAAAATGAGTTGTATTTTACGACCTGAAGTAATATGGATTGAGGGAAGATGTTATAGAATTAACGATCCAAATACGGAAATTTCAGCTCTTCAAGAACATGATCTATACGAGGATGGTTAGCATTTCACATATTTTATTAAACGTGTTAGGTTTATGGTACTGGCAACTTTGTGTTCTCTGTTCGCTGTTCAAAAGAACTCATTGCGTTGTGTATAAGAAACAAAGATGATTAACAACAAGAATAGTATTTTAACAAAACCTACTAGACTATTAGTTCTTTTTGTATTAATTATAGTAGTATCCTTAAATGATTCATTCATTTAAGGATACTACTATAAAAATAATAACTTTTTTGATTTGTGTACAATTATATTCATTGAAATCATTAATTAAACTTTGCTAAATTATATAACTTGTTTTGCAGAAATAACATTTCAAGATGCGGGTGATGATGAATCTTATGATGATTTTGAAATAATTGAAATAGATAGTAATAGATTTGCTACAAACCTTCATGTACCAAAGTGAGTAGATTAATGATAAGATTTTATAAAAGCGACTTAAAAATACTGATTAAATAAAAAAATTGCTTGTAGGCATTATATTGGAGCAATTATAGGGAAAAAAGGAGTAATGAGGAGCAGAATTGAGAGAGATACTGGAACTAATATAAAAATACCAAGACAAGGTGAAGCTGGGGACATCACAATATTTGGTCCCAGTGTTACTGTGAGTAAATTGACTAAAGTTTGTCTTGACACATATACTTAAAAGAATGTCCTGTCATAAAATACGTAAATTTAATGTTCATAATTAACCTGCTGAAATAATCGTATTTCTTACCAATATTATAAATGTGAATGTTGGATGGATGGATTTATAGATGCATAGATGGATGGGTGTTTGTTTGAAGGTATATTTAGAACAGCAATTTGGATCTAACTGTAATTTAGCATAGATATAAAACATAGTCTGTAAGAACACATAAGCTACTAAATAATTTATTTTAAATTCCGCATTGAGAAACTTGCTGGTGACCGCTAGTTTTTTCATATAATATGTAAGTGCCACCAACTCATGAGTTGTCAACATGTGAGCTTCACATCATAATTAAAATAATACATGTGACACATTTGAGATAAAGATGCAAATGTTATCTCTCATCAAATAATTAAAAACATATCTACAATGATTACAGAATGTAAAAGCAGCTTGTAGAAGAATCAACATCATAGTGATGTCTTCAAGAATGAAACAAAAACCTACTCATTTTATATCAATTCCTTTAAATACTCCAACTATAATGAAGAATTTTGAAAAATTCAAGGTAAAGAAAGCCAAATAACAAGCAGTATAATTATAATTTTATTCAATGACAGGTTTTGATTAGAAAACTATATAAAAATGTGTAAAAAATTTTTTGTTGGATTGAAAATAATAATAACAATAACTTGGTTATAAGCATATTTTTTATAGTTTTTATGGTTTATGTTTCCAGGAAACAGTGTTGCAGGAAGTGAAAGATCTAGATGAATCATTATTTATAGGGGCACATAAACTCCATATCACCGTTGGTGTGATGTGTTTGATGGACAATGAGGAAAGGTTACAAGCTACTAAATTGTTGAGTGAGGCAAAAGATCAAATTATAATGTAAGTATAAGAATATATAGATAAAGTAGCAGTTTCCTGCGACTTCGTCTGTGATTATATTATATATAAATATATATATAATTGGAATCTCAGAATCGGCTCCAAAGATTTTCATAAAATTTTGTATATAGGGGGTTTCGGGGGCGATAAATCGATTTGGCTAGGAATCATTTTTAGTAAATGTCATTTTATTTGTGTTTTATCGATAATCAACTTAAACATAAACTTAACTTTTTCTATCGGTAAGATCGAAAAATATTATTCATATTTCATCATTTTATTAGTAATTCGTACTTAAATATAATTTCCAAAAAAACACAATTTAAAAAAAAATACCGAGCAAAGCTCGGTCACCCAGATTTTATAATACATTAATAGATCACTAGGGTGATCTTAACAATAAAGATTTTCCAAAGCTGTTTTGGTTCCTATTTAATGCAATGAAATCTTTCCTCTTTATAATACTACTATCTTTTAACTGCAATTTTATTACACCTTTTTGGAGATAGTAACAGACATCCTTCAATTCAAACTTTCGCATTTATAATATCAGTATGAAGTATAGTATAAATTACTATGTTAGGTGTAACTTTTGTATATATATTTTTTTATATCAAAAGGTGGCAAACGAGCGAGCTGCCACCTGAAATCGCTGAAATAGCGAAGTGACCGTTGCCCATAGACATACGCAATTGCATATGCGTTGCCTATCTTTAATCGACGGAGAAGAGGATGCATAGAATAAAAATATTTTCCTCCTTCCATGCATCCTCTCATCCGGAAAGTCCACTTCCACTTCCCATCCTTTCCTTATGAGAAAAAGGGTGGGAAGGGAAAGAGAACTAAATTAGGCCTCCGGGAAGCACACTCATCAGACGAAACGCGGAATTGCTTCCACTTGACGCCTGTCTTCTGTGTGGTCGTGGTATTTCACCGGGCGAGCCGGGCCAATTCGTCCGAAGATGTTAAAGCGGGCTCTACCACTGTTAAATTATTTAGACATTATTAGTTAGAATCACTTGGCGCGAATGACGTGCGTTCGTTCCGAAGTCCAGTGACAGAATGAATAGTGAGTAGACATAATCGTCGACATTTTAGTAAGGCTAGTGTTGGGTTAATATACTGCAACATTTTCGGATTTTCTTCCTAACAGTATGTACCCTCTTTTATTGAAATTGCGTCAATGGATGAACGTAAAAGACACAGTTAATGTTAGTGTGGAGTAAAAGTGCATATAATTATTTAAATAAAAAAAATCCTTTTGACTATGACCAATGGGCGACCATAGGCATAGATAAATTAAAAAAAAATGAATTTTTCAGGCCTTTACTACAAGAGAAGTTACCTCTACAGATAAGATTAAAAGGTTTATCTTACATGAACGATGATCCTAAAAATATTCATGTATTGTATGCAAATGTTGAAGATGAAGCCGGCACTGACATTATACAGAGATTAGCTGATGATTTAGTCAATTTCTTTCACAAAGCAGGTACTTATTGAAATATAAAATAGATTTAATGGGAGAAAAATTGATTTTTGAGACACTTTCTCCTTAAAATGTTAAGAGAAGTAGATACTTCTCTTACAGCTCTTACAACTATAGAGTTGTAAATTGAAATGATTTTAAAGTTTTTGATGACTTTTTGAGACGGATTCTTTTATTAAACCATTCTCCATTAATTCTACAATAAGCTCGGTAACACATTAGTTTTTTTGTTCAATTATCACTTAACATTTTCTATGATAAAGGTAAAGTAGGTTTACATATAAAATTATTTATATATATTGTTTCTTTTAGGATTTATGAGAAATAACGAATATGGAAGAGACAGAGTTAAACTGCATGTAACTCTATTAAATTCTAAATATAGAAGCAAATCAAACAGTGAGGAAACTTCGACCAATGGAAGGAAAGTTAAAGAACCATTTGATGGTTCTCAAATATTAAACAAATTTGTTGATTACGATTTTGGAGTTACGGAAATAACTGACGTACATCTTTCTCAAATGAAGACAATGGGTGATGATGGATATTATCAGCCAACTTTTGTGGTTACTTTAAATAAAAACTAATCATTATAAATTGCTTTTGATTCTATTCCTTTTTTTTTTCAATTCCTCCTGTTTTTACGCAAGTTACCTGGTGAAGTGATTGTGACTATTTTCCATTGATCTGACCCTACCTACACGAGTCGAGCTCCTACCAAGTGGCTCCCCATAGCCGGGCCGTGGATAAACTAACGTAGATGCCACGGTCCGGTCGGGCGAAGGAGAACACTGCGGGGTTTAGTAGGTAGCCCGGTCTTAATCCCAGGCTGGGAGTCCGTCCCTGCTGCCACCGCAGCACGGACGGTGAAGTCCATAAACGCATTCCCCGCGTTAATAAAAAAAACTACTTTCCATTGACTTTTGTAGCGATATAACAAGTAATAATTTTGGTGGCTACATTTATTGGTTAGAGAGGCCGAATTGATAAAGATTTTTTCCATACAAATCCTAACAATCAACCAAGACTAAAATATAGCTTATGGCAGCACGGGTGTTTCCCGTTTGGCCAATTCATATTTACGAGTATCAATATCGTTCTATTAACCAAATAAGGATTTTTTGCCATTGTTCTAATTTTATATCTTTACTAAAAAAATATTATAAACCGCTCGTTCATTAAAAATTGAAATATCCAAATAATATCAAATCAATGATGAATATGAACCTGCTATAAATCTCTTAAATTTTAAAACAAGTCTGTTGATATTTATGTAAAATAACGTTTTAAATTCAACTTGAATTTCATCAAGGTAAAAGTTAATTAGCGTCATTCACATTAACTTGTTACGACTCAAACTTTTATGTTACATTTACATTTTTTAGTTCTAATAAAACGTTCACTGCCTTTCGAAATTACCAATCTACTTTTTCACATTACACCAACTTTGTTAGTTTTAAAATATCAGCAACCTTCCGCACGTATCCATAATACCTAATGCGGATACGTAAATACGTAACCGTCATACGTTGCCAACTTATTGTACCAGTATTAACTTTCTGACTCTGAGATACTCAGCCTGGTAAAGTTAAAAGTAAAAATCTTACTGCCTACTTATAAATGCGAACATGGGCATACACATAAGCTACTAATAAAGTTATTTTTTTTAATTCCGCGCGGATGGAGTCGCTGCCGGTAGCTAGTATAAATTTCTTTGTAGATTAAGTTAAAAAAGTTTTCAACAGTGCCGAATTTTCTGATAAGGAATATTTTAGGTTCATCGGGATTGTAATCTGGCAGTTAGTATAAAAGGATCCGTTTATCTGTCGGCATAAAACAGCCGGCAAGCGCGGGACATTACGGGAGCTCTAGACGTTGAGCTTATTTCAGTTTCCTTCCGAATGATTTTATCGTCTGGCTTCCTAGCCGCGAATAGAAGGGCTCACCATGGAGCTACGAAAACGAAAATGAATTACAAAAACATAAAATTTTGGAAATTAAAAATATATGTTTAGTTAGATATTGCAAATGTTATCTTATTTACAAATAATATTGTGAATAATAAAGAAAATAATAAGCTTACGTGCACGATATCACCACAAATTTATATTACGACCTAAACAACAAAATGGTATTTCAATATTTTAACCACAATTAAATACAAGATTCAATTTTTTATTAAAAACAAGCGTGTAATTACTAACGTGTTAAATCATTACTACGAGAATATAAAATTAAACTGTTTAATACAAAATGCTACGAACCTCTACAACATTTCGTAGCTGTGAGTTACGGCTCGCACCGTGATCGGGAGGGGTGGCTTGAGTCAGTACAGACGCATTGCCTACGCTATGCGCCCGTCTTCCGCGTACCTTACATACTTGCCTACCAACGTATACACAATATCGTATTTCCTCAGAATCTTTAAATTAATTTCTGTGAAATAAAGTGATATCAAGGTAAGTTTCATATTATTTTATAACAACTTTCACTCCATTTTGTATTAAATTGTTATACATCGAAATAAAATTTTCTTCGTAACTCGTAAATGAAAACTTCATATAAAACTGTAATATTTAACTATGAAATGAAAGTGTAACCATGAATTTTTATAAGAAAGATTTAAGGTAAAATAAAGCTCACTGTAATCATAAGATTTTATTTACGAGCTAGTCCCGGGCGAAGCTTGGATCGTAAAACATTAAAATAAATCGGAGGGCCTCGTCCCCTTTACCGCCTGTAATATTTGCCTCTCAAGACGCCGCGTCTGCCGTTAACAGCGTAGACGTATTATAATACTATGTAATTGGTTTATGTGCAATAAAGGCTAAGTACTTTGAAATGTAAAGTAGCCTAACGGCTAAGGCCTTATTTTCTTGAATGATTTTTATATTAGAAAACTTATTATACTCATATATGTAAGAGAACTGCTATTTTTTTAATAATTTTTTTTATTATTTCTAAACTGGTTTATTTATTTTTACTCCTGAAAACCATATTTTTACCTAACAGCAACATACATGTGTACGGATATGAGTAAAGCGATGATATTCACATTTTTAGACTCGAATAGACTTATATTTTATATAGAATTATATGTTATATATGAAAAAAATACTTACGACCTTAAATTACTGTTTTAATACGAGACGTATATACTCGAGTCGTAGTCGAGTATATATCAAGTGTTATATTTGAAGTTGCATTAGAACTATTTTAACGCGATTATTTGTGTTTTAATAATATTTCCTGCTTCGTGCTATGTTTTTTATAAAGCGGATGCATTGAGTGAAAAGATAGGGGTACAAGAATATCGTACGAGTATCAGAGCTTTTAGTGTTCCCCAGTATACAGTATGTTGCACGCAGGTTGATGTAACTAGGTTAATGTTTCCAATACACTCCTCCATATTTCATATCAAACGACTGATACTCATCATTTTAACCGTTTATTTCTATTTCTACATGTTGTCTTCTTATTTATTCTTTAATAAAAGCACGAATGACAAGGCAGTGGAAACTCGTGCTAAAATGTAAAAGCATTAAGACATTATTACCCAAGTACAATGTTCCATAATAACTCATTTAATTTATAATGATTGACTAAATTTCGTATCATTTGTAGACTATAGAAAAAATATATTTACATGTTTCGACGTTAGGAATGTTATATTCAACTTATGAATTTCTTAAAATAGGTGGCAATTTCATCGTAACCATAGAATCATTCGGCGAAATGGTGAAAACTTCCCAACCGATCGATCGGTCGGTCGATCATCCAGCGAGAAACACCCCATAAAATTACGCGTATAATTTACGATAGAAGATAATGGAAATAAGGAAATATTTAGGTTACATATGTTGCCAGTTGATTGGAAAAATCCTCCGGGAAATTATCAAACTCGGATACGACGATATCTCTGCGACGACACGAACATACACTTGTTCCTACAACTCGATAAAAGTTTGAAGAACTCGCGTAAATCTTCTCTACACTGCTTTATTTCATTTGTGGATATTTTTACTTTGTGCGTTATTTTATATAGGTACATAAATACTATGTTTTTCGACTTGATTTTAGAAAAAGAAACTTTCGGTTTTTGGTCTTTTTATTTTATGCGATAGGCTAAGGCCATAAAGATTGTGTAGATCAATACCACAGATAACAAATATTAAATTCGAATTGAAAGTGTATTCTATCGATTAGTGTATATTACTATATTTTTTGCTGGCGAAACACAGTTTATTTAATATATAATATCTATCTTTATATATATATTTATTTCATAATTTTGTTTTACATTTGTTTTGGCAGTGAAAACTAATCATTTAAAGTGCAGTTGCTCTCATTGAAAATTAGTACAAAGTATTTGGGGTTCGGTTTTGTAAGTGAGTTATCGGCCCACTTAGTGCCTCTGTAATAGCCTCATAATGGAATAGTGGTATGTAGTGGGACCGCAAAGGGTCGCCATTTCTCTTCATTATCTGATAACAAACCCCATCGACTTAATGCATGTGGGGCTGTGAGTACTGGAATTCTAATCCTTATTTTCAATTAATTGCATTTGAAGCTTTTTACTGTAATTATTGTTCAGAGTTCTAAACGGTGACCTAAACCGTTCCTTATTCTAAAGCTCTAGTACAAGCTCTCGTAATAAATTTACACTAAGATACTAATCAAATTACCATCAAAAAACTCTGAGGACCACAGTAACTCTTAAGGGGATTGTTGAAACTTCATACTTACACCTTTGTACTAAAATATTTGTAGGTATATATTTTCACGCTATTCCAGTGCTGTAAATTAAGATTATATCAGAGAATCTGTTGCCCGCGACTCCGTCCGTGCGGAATTAACAAAAAACTATTGGTCGCAGCGTAATGTTATATAGCCTTAACCCTTCTTCTATAAATGAACTATCCAAAATAAAAGAGTTTTCAGATCGGACCAGTAGTTCCTGAGATTAAACAAACAAACAAACAAACTCTTCCGCTTTATAATTTTAGTATAGATAGCCGATGTTTATATTCATTTGTTTAATTAACACAATTTTTGATTGAATTCACTAATATCTAGTAGGCTAATAAATAATACCTCTATTAAAAGAAATATTAGCTTTTATATATGGCATTATGAAACTATTTCATTCAATTTTACAAATAAAAAGGATTATAAATAGTCAAGGTTGTCCTTGCTTGGTATAGACCTTCATTTATTCGTGTCTATTAATTCCAATAAGAACCTCTTCCGATTCAGTGACGCATGCTAAATGTGTCAGAACGTGTTCAATCGATCCATTCGTCTGGTGAAATTCTAGGGAACAGTTATGTACGTTAATGTGGAAACTTTTATTGTGTTCGTCTCGAATTTGTCTATGATTTACTGTCGGCGACTAGAAACTTAACGATCTACCATTAGTGGAGCCAACTAGACTTGAATGTAATAAAACTTTGTTTTCTGTTAACATTGCAGAATCGGTTTTCTTACCTTATCTTACTTCATATTATGAAAACGATGTTTAGATGGATGGATGCTTGCAGGTATCTCCAGAAAGACTGAACGGATCTCGATGAAATTTGCCATACATATAAAACATA